GACTTCGGGAGTCACAACAACAAAATTAAAGGAGTAACGTGTCGTAATAACTCTCCCCAATTCTCTACATCTATACACTCAGAGACAAACTGCGAAGTCCGTTTAAAATGTTAAAATTACTCACTGACAACAGGGCTTGTGGACAGCGGAAAAACTTGCTCATTGAACCGGATGTGGTACCGTTCTTCTGCTTGTACTTATTCTTCTTCTTGGTGAATTGGATGTCTTTAGTTCATATCGCCCCCTACTGTCCGGGAAACCACAAATGCGTTTGGCAAGCAATCTGAATGCAGTCTCCTACACAAGTACAGCTACTCGATAAAGGAAGGTGGGAACGCGGGAGGTGGCGGAAACATGTCAGCAAACACGGATTATTTGTCGGTGCAGCAAGTGCTTAGACTATGGATGTAGGGGATGACTTTGCAGCACTTCACAGGTATGCATGCCGGACGAGAGGTGCCATCCGTGATTCAGCCGTGGACGCTCGAGTGCCATGGAAAGCGGGATAAAGCGATGTTCCCAACCAGATTTCTCAAAGATGATCTCATTTGATTAGTGTAGAGTGTAAAACAGGTGGGAAACCCAAAGTCATTTTTTGTTCTCACAGGTAGGCATGCCGGACGAGAGGTGCCATCCGTGATTCAGCCGTGGACGCTCGAGTGCCATGGAAAGCGGGATAAAGCGATGTTCCCAACCAGATTTCTCAAAGATGATCTCATTTGATTAGTGTAGAGTGTAAAACAGGTGGGAAACCCAAAGTCATTTTTTGTTCGGCAATGGGAGAACATTAACATCTGTGACGAGAGGTGCCATCCGTGATTCAGCCGTGGACGCTCGAGTGTCATGCAAAGCGGGATAAAGCGACGTTCCCAACCAGATTTCTCAAAGTTGATCTCATTTGAAAATGTAGAGTGTAAAACAGGTGGGAAACCCAAAGTCATTTTTTGTTAGGCAATGGGAGAACATTAACATCTGTGATTGTTCTACTTCTTCCTTTCATAACTTTGCTGCTGTGAACTGGGAATTTCTCCATTGCGAGACTAATCAAGGTTTTCTTATAATTCAATTAGTGCTCAGTGATAAATAAGCGTATTCACTCACGCAAAACCGTGGGAAACATCTACACCTATAGGCCAGAATGGGCCATTGCGGTCTTTTCAGGTGGAATTCAAAGCTGTTCCGAAGATGACCTTTGGGCGGCAGTAGTGTGCTTTGGCCTCATATACTGTGCTTGAAACATCCCAGAAGTAGAATATGAATGGGTTCCGTCCATAAAGACTTTTTTTGTCCAGCCAAAGATAAATACGTCATTAACCCAAGAAAATTTGGAAATACTACAGCCAAAGGACATCGTAAATCACGGTATGCAAAGTCCGTATCCTTCCGTACGATAGTTATCACCACGTCTCGCTTGTTTAAACGTTACCCTTTGTTTGGGAATTGATAGCATGGTAGCCTCAGAGCCAAGCAATCAAAATACTCTCTTTGACTAGCGTCTGTCTTCCGCCGTTGTAATTGAACGGCTATTTAATTTATTTTAATTAAAAAAAAAGACTCATATAGAAGATATTGTGATTATTTCTGTCTCTCTGCTTCGCGTAGTGATGGCAGCATCATTGCCACAGAAGACGGGCATGACAGGGATGCCCACTCAGCAACAGCCCCCTCACATGCCCCCCGGTGGCTCCCTGGCCGCAGGTCAACAGGCAATGCCACCCCAGGGTGCCCTCCGAGAGATCTCCCCTGTGTTCCTCTGTCGGATTGGACAGGAAACCGTCCAGGACATTGTCACTCGCACCATGGAGATCTTCCAAATCACACGAGCAACGCAAGTAAGAAAGAAAGAAACCAAGAAAGAAGTAGCTTTCTTGAGATTCGCTTTACCTTATTCCCAAAATTCTCTTGCAGGGGTCTTTATCCCTCATGAATAGCAGACAGTGTATCGAGATGTTTATATATTGGACTATAAGTTCACGCATCAGTTGTTTCAACTTAAGAGGAGTGTCAAAAAGTCAAAACAAATTTATATGACACTATATTTTGTACACAGTTAACCTTGGGTTTAGTCACTTTCATTTTCATTGCGATCAAGTGATGGAGCGAAAGTCAAGCGAAAACATCACACGTCTGTCCGTCCGTCCTCTCGGTTTCAGCTTCCCAATGGTGTGACTCAAAGCCAGGCAATGTACCAGGACCGCTTTGGAAAACTCCAGGAACACTTGAGGCAGCTCGCCCTGCTCTTCCGCAAACTTCGCCTGCTGTACGAACGCTGCGTGGAGATGACCGCTGACCTGCAGGAAGGGCCGGCGGAGGTCGGAGAAACGAGCTTTATGATGCATGAAAATGCGTTTGTTACTTGGTCGTTGGGTATTGTGCACAAAGAGAGGCTTTATACGCTGTCCGTGTATATTTTCTCAGCTCGTGCCCTATGTTGGAGAAGAGCTGGTCAACGTCAGAGTGGAGCCTTGTAGTCCTTCAGTCCACCAGGAGCGAAAAGACATCCTTGAGGTAAATTATACATATGATGTAATAATTCCAGGACAGATGGTAACTGTAAGATAGTTGGAAATTAAGGGCTGAATGGGCTATTTAAATAACTAAAATATTTCTCCGTGATGCATCACGGAGGCTTACGCGAATTACACTACTCTCAATTTGTTATACCGTCAAGCTCCACATGAATAGCTGTACATGCTTCGCACGAAGCAGCCCTGATCTATTTTGAGGAGAGCCCGAGTGCCACTGTTTATTTCATCCATAATAGCGAAGCCTAATTCTGATCTATTGTCGCTCAAATGTTTTCAAGAACCCTCCCCACTCCACATTGTGGGACTAACAAGGGATCTTAACTCATTGACAATGGCCAATTTGTTCTTGCTTGCCATGATTTTCGCGGCCCAAGTACCTGAACCCTATTTGAGAATGCGCCGTTGAATCGAAATCGACTTTGTCCTTGTTCGCATTAAAGCTGCGCGTTTGACTGATCTGAACTCCTCGTCCCCGTTTGCAGAGAGTACGTCAAAAGAACCACGAGATGAAGGTTCTTATGGATCAGATGAGGAACTTGCTGTGGGACGTCAATGCCATGTTGACACTGAGGAAGTGATCAATCCCGATGGACAGACCGGGGAGAGTATTTGCAGGGTGATCAGCTTTTGCAAAGTAATTGATCTTTACCTCTCAAAGCCACAAGATGGCGGCAAAGGTTTTTTTTGGGGGGGGGGGTCACTGGTGAATTTCAATTCACTTCAACGGAGTTCCTTGAGGCAGGCTGTTGGTCGACTGGTTAGCGTGCTGGCTGCAGAGGTGCAGGGTTCAATTCCGGTACAGTACATCTCAGGTGTGTATGTGCACGCGTTAAATGAGTCTTCCTCAAAGTGTGCCCTTGTTGTTCAGGTTTGCTTGCCTGTGAATGTAATTTTGTCAACTGGGCCATATGTGTTTTGTACCAAGTAAAAATGTTTTTTCTCATTAAAACTACGGGAAAAAAAAAGTCCTTCAATTGACTGCCGTTGTGTTTGATGTCACGCTAAACTGCGAGGGGGGGGGGGCAGAAAAAAAAAACGGAGCTTCAGGAAACACCACAACAAAGTGCAAATCATTTTATGCCTTAGTTTACATTTTGCCAGTCACATTGTCCGTTTTTCCTCGGCTCCCGCTCAGCAATGCTGAGACGAGAATAGCCCGAGAACATGGCACGCACCTTCCTTCCCATTCATGCACAGCGACACCACTTGCATCCGAGGGCCTCTTCAAAGTGCTTCGATGAAGACTGACAGCTCATCGACAGGGTGGCTATTTTTTTTTTTTTAGAGCTGGAAGGGGTTAGAGTTCGCGTTGCACTTAACAGGACTTTGTATTGATCCACAGCCCACCGGGGTCTGTCTGATTGTCCATATGACAGCTTACATGAGTCCCTCTGATCCCTCTCAGCTGGACAGACCTTGGTCGGTGTCCTCCAAAAGCCCACCGCAACGGACCGGCTCTGTGGCCGGTCACATCATGCCTTCTCGAGGTCTTTATATTTCTTACGGAGGACTGACACCTGATCTTTGAAGAGCACGGGGTCAAGGCGGAATTGGGAGTGGACCAGAGGCATGTAGCCAAACCAGTTGGCAAAGGTGTTGATACACTCCTGGCGCTGGTTGAAATGCTCCGGGTTGGCCCAGGGGACATTTTTTGTGGCCTAGTGAGTCAAAAAAAATAGGACTGATTAAACCATCACGCACTTGCCCATGTTAGATTTAGATTTAGATTTTCGAGTGAGCACTATCAATCAATCCGTGGCGACTTACTACCTGCGGGCTCGGCAACTCCTTGTATTGTTTCCTTTGAGCCACTTTGATGGGCGGCAGGCGGGTGACAGCGGAAACCAGGAAATTCATCAGGATGTCCTCGCAATTGGACGTATGATCCACAATGGTTCTCAAAGACTGCGGCAGGTAGTGCGAGAACAGGTAGTGGTAGTATCTGTGCAGATGGCATATATTTCAGAATTATAGACTAATATTGGTTGGACAAAGTACAGTACAGTAAAACATGCATTAAGATGGTACCAGAACATTCGGATTTATTTATTTTATTATGATTATTTTTTGCTGAATGCGTAATTTGTTTTGAAGATACGTTGAAAAATTGACGCTGGTGGGAAACATTTTTGAATTGAATGCAAGGAATAAGCTACGGACAACACGCAACAATTTTCTGTAGGAAAAGATAGTGGTGCTCAATCGTTGCCATGGCAACAACCTAAACATAACACCAGTTAGCGCTGACACGGGTGCATACACTTGAAAATATTCTTTTCTGTTGTGTTTTCAAGGTCTGCAAAGTGCTTGAAGTTTAGATCCAGTGCTTTTAAAGTGCTAGAAATTGGAGGCACTTATGATAGAGAGAAAAAAAAAAGCTATCTGACGAGACCGTTTGATTTTTAGATGGAAAATAAAAGTGGCAAACTTTACAGAAAACATTGAATCTTCCTCTGCTGTTTTGAAAAAAAGTACATGTAAATGACAGTGTTGCCCTGTTGTCGTCTACCGTCGGGTGTTTCTCAAACTTTTTACACCCCAAAGTAGCGTGCAGCTAAAGGAGCGGAGTACGCCGAATTTTTCATCAAAATTGAGACAGTGAGAAAAATAAATTAATTAAAAAATTGTGCTTGATGATTAAATTAAAATGTATGAAATGTCTACCACTGTGCCTAAAAATGCATTTTGAAAACATCTCTTGAGATGAAAAGCAAATTATTGTACTTAAACTTGCATACAACTGAACGCTACATAACAAATGAGGTTTTTTTTTTTTTTTAAGGTCCAATTCTGCCAAGTTTGATAAAATTCTTTCACCTACCACTAGGGGGCACCAGGCAGCCCCCAAGGACCACATGAACTAACCTGCAGGCCTGTTCTAAAAATAGCAGATCATTGATGGGACACTGTGATTTTCTAGGGACGCTATAGAAGTGAGCATTTGAAAGAAAAAAAAATATATTTTTTTTTTATTTTATTGCACAGCAGTGTCTCGTAAACTTCACAGTTCTTTGGGGTTTTTTTAAAATTACATATTGACATGCTTTACCTGTGGTAGAAGGGAGCTCCGGGCAGG